CAACATTTTTAAAGACAGAAATAAATTTTTCTTTTATTTAAACTGGATTTGAGGGACACCCAGTTAATTCAGTCAGTCGACCATGTGACTCTTGATCTCAGGGCTATGAGTTCAAGCCCCATGTTCGGTGTAGAGATTGCTTAAAAATAAAATCATAAAATAAAACAAAACAAAACTGGTATTTGAGGCTTTCTATTGCCCACAGATAATTCTAATTCCAACTGAAATTCCATTAACCAGAGACTCACTGGGTAATGATATCTTTAAAAATAACGATTCTGGGAGGCTCCACAGACATATTAAGTTGATTTGGTATAGTTTGTTGTTAAACCTTTAGCTAAAATCAGCTACACTGAAAGAAGGGTAGGTTTGCATGGGGGAAGACAGAACATAAACTATTTTGCAGGAAGAAAACAGGCCAGACTAAGTTACTATTAAAGAAGTAAAGGTAGATTGAAGACATTTCACAGAGAGAAGAAGATAAAACTGTGGCTGATTCTAAGGCCCAGTTGTATTCTCTGCCTAGGGTTCTGTAAAATCTCCTTGAATCTTTATAACAAGTTATCCTTTTGCTTAAGTAAAAAGAAAAATTCAACCAAATAGCTTGTTTCTATTAGTTACAACCAAGAGTACTAACCAGAATAACTAACAGAACAGGTGATACATACAGGAGCGTCCCATTTAGTAAGTATTATTGAGGAACAATTTATTCTGGTAATAAGATATTCAAGTAAGTAAAAATTCTATAGGTAATTCACCCACTTCCCACACCCCATTGTCACTGAATGCAGTTTGGCATTTTATTTTACAAAATAACTGTATTTATCACTGCATTCAATTAAATTCTGATCCTTGTGCTTTTTATTATTTCAATGTACATATGAGGATATTGGAAGTTTGACAGTTTTCAATGTATATATGAGGATATTAACAGTTCAATTGTGGGCTCATTGTTTTTTAGCATGAATGGTCTGTAGGCACCATTCTGCAGGTTTGCATAGTAGAAATGGAGGTAAAGAACTTTCTAGGATGTCTTTATGTGTAAAAGCTGAAAAAAGTACTAGTCTTGTGGTCTGAATTTGCTGCTAGGACCAATGAAGGGAACTGCTGTGTGTAATTTTGACTTTGGTTTACTCTGGGCTTCTTCCCACAGTTACTGAAATCTCTACTCAAGCTCAAAAACATACAAGTATAAATCTTAGGACTTTACCAGAACTTTCTAGAGAGAGGTATCAATTTAAGTGGAGGTCTGAGTTATTTAGCTGGACCTTGAGATATGGATTTTCATTTGTAAAGGTGGAACAAGTGGATACTAGTATCTACTCTCAACCACTGGAGCTTCACCAAACAGGATCGTAGAGGGAACCCTTCTCCACTTGACCAGGCTCATTTCATCACCAACTGTGCAGTAGGGCTCTTCTCTATGCTATCACAAAACTATAAGTTTAATTTATCTTAATTCTTTCTTGTCATTGATAATTGGCTATTCATATATTCTGATTTTTTATGGAATTGTATACATAGTGTCCAATAATAGACTTCACCACATATATCTAGCAACAATGTTATGTTTTTTTTTAAATTTTATTTATTTATGATAGGCACACAGTGAGAGAGAGAGAGAGAGGCAGAGACATAGGCAGAGGGAGAAGCAGGCTCCATGCACCGGGAGCCCGACGTGGGATTCAATCCCGGGTCTCCAGGATCGCACCCTGGGCCAAAGGCAGGCGCCAAACCACTGCGCCACCCAGGGATCCCCCAATGTTATGTTCTTAAACTTGCTCTCATAATGTTAATTGCATTTTATACTATGGTGCATGAATTTTATCTAGGAATTCAGAGTTATATAGTTATTAACTTATAGTTACAGTTTGTAAATGATGGTCAGCCACCATTGAACCTAACTTACCATTTTATTTTATTGGATAGTTGTATATATTTAATGTCAGGTTACTTCTCTACACATTGACCTTTTTTTTTCCTAAGTTGTCTTTAAAATTATTATGATTTTATCACTTAATAAATACAGAAATCAGTAGTCTGAAGTGTGGAGTTTACATAGAATTACGACACTGAAGGATCCTTAGCTGCCTTTGGGGTAGTTTTAATTTTATTTGCAATATAAGTACATGCTTATTATCACTTTGTTTAAATTTTGATCTTAGTTCTTTTTCATAAATTTTCTGAAAAATAAGTAGTCTCAGGTGACAGGTGGGGAAATTAATCATCTGGCTGAGCACCTGTCATTTTATGACACTGAATGCTCTTCAGCCTCTGCAGTCAGTTATCACTGAGTACAGTCTGGCATTTTGTTTCACCGAACAATTGTGGCGTAGTATCCTTTTATTGTTTGACTAAACTGTGAATCTGGTTCCCAAAAGCGTTTTTTTTTTTTTTTTTTAAGATTTTATTCATTTATCTGACACAGAGAGAGCACAAGCAGGGGGAACAGCAGGCAGAGGGAAAGGGAGAAGCAGGTTCCCCACTGAGCAAGGAGCTGGATGTGGGGCTCCATTCTAGGAACCTGGGGTCATGACCTGAGCTGAAGGCAGAGGATCCTTAACCGAATGAGCCACTAAGGTGGCTCTCCAAAAGGTTTATTTGTACTGTTATCTCCTTTCAATTTACAAATAAGGAAAGTAATTGGCCAGAAGCATACCTTAAAAGCATTAAAGCTCTTCAATAACTTGAAGAGTTTGATGTAAATATTTTGATGTAAAATACACTTTCTTTCTTCCCTAAACAGAATATTGTATACGATACACAAGACTTTTTCATATTGACTCAAGGTTGCTGAAATAGTCAAGTATTTTATTCAGCTTTAAAACTGTTAAGTATTTAGGAACTACTAGTAGATACATATAAATATATATATATACACAAACATGCATATATCTATTCCTATGATGAATAAGCCCCATACTACTATGCTTTCTCAGCTGCCATTTATCATTTTTATTATTGTCAGTATACTACTGATTCTAATCTTCCTTATCTCATACATAACTGTGTTGTTAGTAGTTTCCAATTTTTTTTTGGTTTGGCAATGGCCCATTTTTTTTTCAATGAAATCTTACATGAATCGCAACATACAGAATGAATGAATATGGATTTCTTCTGTGGAAGTGGAATCAGGCAGGGAGCCAGTGTCCTGATGCTAAGCCTCTAGGCCTGGTCTTTAGAGCAGAATACTGAGGTACCTGATGAAACCCCCGACCACCATCAAATAGTTGTGTTATTTTATTTTATTTATTTATTCATGAGAGACACACAGAGTGAGAGAGAGAGAGAGAGAGAGAGAGAGAGAGAGAGAGACAGAGGCAGAGACACAGGCAGAGGGAGAAGCAGGCTCCATGCAGGGAGCCCGACGTGGGACTCGATCCCGGGTCTCCAGGATCATATCCTGGGCTGAAGGTGGCGCTAAACTGCTGAACCACCCAGGTTGCCCCATCAAATAGTTTAATACCACTTGCCAAACCTAAGAGTGAGTTCCTCTCTTCTGAAGGATAAACATTTTTAGAAAATGTCATCTTGTACCTTGTATAGAGGGCAGCAACAGCATAAAGATCCATGATCTAATTACTCAGTAATTTCAATTAGTATAGCAAACAAAAATGGAAGTAAAACACATGTAAGGTTAAAAAATTAAAATAAAATAGGAATGTAAAAAAGGAAAAGAAATGCCTTCCTCAGTCTTGTGCATACCCTCTATCATACCAAACTCTTCTCTTCAAAGGTAACCACTATTAAGTTCTTATAATTCCTTCCACAATGTATATGAGTGTATATGTCTATGCATATATGAATATATGAATAAAGCTTTTTAAATAAAAATTTATACATGGAAGTCATTATACACTGTTAAACATTTTTTATTTAATAATAAATCAGCAATGTTTTTTTTAAATCAGCAATCTTTTTTAAAATTAATTTTTCAGTTATATTTCACATAATTGAGTTATCTGAACTAACTCCCAGATCAGCAGAATCTGTCACCGTGAATATTACTGTGTTCTTACTGTCTGTGTCTGAGCATTTTCTTATAACATTATTATTTCCTATTAACATTATTATACAATGTACCTGCAATGGAACACTATCCTAAAAACAATATTAAAAAAAGCTATGTTACACATCACCATAACAGAACTTAATCATCAGGTAGGTATAGCAATGTTTCTATAGAGAATGTAGTTAGAGTTCCAACTTGGAACTTGGAATAATGAAAATGCCAGTTCAATCCTGTTTCTACTGGGTAGGAGACCTATGACCTTTATTTTATCCCACTAAGTTGAAGTGCACCTAAATATTTTTCCCTTAACCACCTGTAAGAATAAAAAAATATGATAATAATAACAAAACACCCCTGAGTTGATGGACAAAAGTCACTTACCTAAAAAAACTTGCTAAATCCAACATTTCTACCTTAAACACACAAGATGTCATACTATTTACAATCAAATCATTTAAAAGCTTTCGACTTGTTCCAACAATGTGTCTTACTTTTCCATGTAATTATTATGCATTAAGACTTCTAAAAATAATGACAATAAGGCCAAAATTTTAACCTGACATAAATCAAAATGACAATATTGAAATTGTTCAATGAAGTATTTCTCTGCTCTGTGCCTTAATCTTTCTGGTATGTTTCTCAAAGAATGATTTCTACTCCTTCCTCTGTATCAGTGTAAGCTATTCCTTACACCTAGCTGCTTTAGAGTATTCTTTCTCTAAAGTACCATCCCTACAATTATAATGTCTTTCTTCCTCTATTTCAAAAGAGCATTTAAAAAATCTTAACTCAAACTATCTAATCATACTGTTCTGTAATTTCACAGGCTCCCAAACAGATACACAGTGTTGCAGTATAATGGATTTACTTGGATTTTACCTTTAAATAATCAAAAATAGCAAACAATGACTTTTCTTAATCTGAATTAAATTTCATGGAAGAACAAGATCAAATACAATACGTGTTTTTACTAAGAATAAATTCCTACCTTAGGAGAAGTGGACAGATCTCTTCCTGCAGAAATAATTGTGTTTTCATTTACTCCTGTCTTTGGTGAGATGGCTGGTGGGGCTGGAGCTTTCCTTTTCACTCTCCTTTCAGTTTCCAGTTCTTGAATTGGATTTACCAAATTATTTGGAGGAAGAGTTGGTTTAGGTTCATAAAAAGGATTAGATCTAAATGAAAAGAATTATTGTTAAATGTTACTCTAAAAATAGTTTATTCCTAACTAAAAAAAAAAGTCCATTTATAAAACTAAAAAATACTGAAAATGATAAGAAACCCAAATCAGTGATAACCTATAATTGGAAACAGTCACTATTAATCTACTGTTTTGTTAGTGATTAACAATAAAATTTTTCCCCATTAAAAAGTATTTTTAAATTTTTTTCATATAAGGTCACACTTAGTTCTATTGTGTATAGATCCTTAGAAAAATGTTTATAGTAATATATTAAGTCCTATATACTCTCCACATCCAAGGAAAAGGAAATAAGATGTGGAAATATTGATTTGCTTTTTTATACTCCCCACATCAAACATTTTTTTTCTTGCACTTCATCTTTTCTCATTAGGGTAAAATGCATTTAGAAGTTCATTCAGCAAGGTTCTGTTAATAGTAAATTCTCCCAGGCACTGCAAATATCTTTATGTTACACTTAAATGACAATTTAGCTAGGTAGAAAGAATTCCAGTTGTCAGTTAACTCATCTCAGCACTCTGATATAATATATTAGCCCACCACTGTCAGCCTATTATTGCTCTTTTATAAGCCATCTTTTATCTTTGGGTGCTGTTAAGATCTTCTCTTTTCTTCTGGTTTTGAGCAATTTTACTAGGATATGTCTAGGTGTGGATATCTTTTAATTTATCCTGTTTTCAGGTTCCTACATTTCGTGAGTCTGAAGATGTACGATTCATTAGTTCTGAAAAATTATCAACCATTATCTCTTTGATAGCCTCTTCTCTATTTTCTCTGGTCTCATCTTTAGAAAATCTTATTAGATGTATGTTGAATTATCTTTCTCCCTCATATTTTAACAAATTTTCATTCCTTCTGTGTGATATTCTGGATAATTCTCTCATACCTATGATCCAGTTAACTTTTTCTCTCTCCATTTGTGTCTAATTTAATGTTCAATTCTCCATGAATTTTTCATTCTGATAAGCATTTTTCTTCATGTGGTTATGTGTAAAATACCTCAGGTATAGAGATTTGAGTCATTAATCACTTAAACATATTTACTTTATAGTCTCTATCTGATAAATCTATTAGTTAAAGTTCTTGCATGTATAATCTAGTGTTTCTTTTGTCTCCTGATTCTTTCTCTTAGTAAACTGTTTCCTTGTATGATTTGTAATTCTAGATTTCAAGTTCAGGGCTTAATCTAAGGAAATCCTGCATAGTCTGAGCTGGGAGTGACTTTTTTCAGTATTTTATATTTGTATTTGCCAAGTGCTTCAAGAGCCATTTTATGTGTTATTTTCTTGACTTGGAGGATCCCAAGTCACCCTACCAATGTAAGGTCAAATCCATATGAGGGTGCTCCTATGTGCTTATAACTTCTCTGGGAAGACTTCTCTATTTCTACCCTCCTTGTTAACTCCTTTTATGAGTAGATGAGTTCTTATTCTCATTAGTTATCCATAAACAAAAGTATCTGGCGTGTATGATGATTATTCTTTCCTATAAACTGCTATCCTGGTTCTTCTTTACTAGTTTGTTGCATTTTTTTCCCTCTAACACCAATTGATTCTCTAGAACCCTATGTATAAAGAATAAACTTTCTGAGTCCACAAGGCTAAGAACCCCCTGACTCAAATATAGTGATTATACCAAGGGAACTCCATCTACTCATCTAAGGCCTGTACTGATGATAGCCCTCTGTTTTAATTATGAATCCTCTTTTAACTACAACAGTATCAGACTCACTTAGAACTAATACCAATTATGTGCACCTTTGCCTAAGAATTTATATGTAGACAGTCATATCACATGAGACTGGGTACCACGTAGATAAGGATCAGAGACGACAATATATCCTACTTGTGATGTCATTCTTATGCTGTACTCATGACAATGATTAGTGTCTTGGGATTCCTTTCACTGAGCTGCTAGGGGACAGCCACAGAATTTCTCTCAACTCCGCTCAGAATAGTTGCTTTTAACTGAATGGGGCTGGCATTTCCAAATAAACCTGTTTCTTGTTCTTTCTCTTATGTCTGTGCATTCAAGAGAATAAGAACAGGAACTAGATACATACTTGAAAATTTGCTTTTCAGATCAAAATATTCTTGCCTAGTGAGTGAGCAAGATTTGCTTGAAGTATTTACATCCCATGTTTACAATCTAAAGAACGTGGGAATATCAAAGCAAGGAACAACATTAAAAAAATCACGTGTTCAGAAAAAGCTGAACATTCTCTCTGAAAAGAGATATGAAAGTTATCACATCTAGCCTAGAATGGAAGGCTTACCAATAACATTATTAACTAACATTAATAAAGTATTTATGCTGTGGCTAGGCACTCTTTTAAATGTTTCATATGTATTAATCCATTTAATCCTTACAACAATCTTGTTTCTTGGGCTAATTTTATTTACAGTCTCATACAGCTGTTTTTCAAATTCTAGAAGTAGTCTGAAGGGACATAAATGTTCAGAAATAAGATGAAAACAGCATTTTTTTTAAACTCCAAAACTTAAAAAGGGGAAAAATCTTTTTACCCCAAACTTACTGCTTGCCAACTGATGTTCAATGTTCCAGGACTGAACAGACCCATTTCAATCTAACTGAACTAATTCAGTTATACGAATTATTTAAGTGATATTCTAAAAAGTTGTTCTTGGTTAGATCTCTGTAGAACAATCTTCCATAGTAGTTTGTAAGATGGTAGCTGCCATAATAATCATTATTATTAATTTGTTATATAAATATGGCTAGTTTTAAAAAAATCTAAGAAGTGTTAGAGGGTATTTATATTACAAAAGAATTTTTGCTTCAAAGAAAAAAATGGCAGAACCCCTTAAAACAGGTATGATTCGTACACTTTATTTAACTTAATTTACAATACTCAGTTGCATGCAACTTTGATAAAACATATCTACTATGTATACAAAAGTAACTGGATATTGTCCTTTTTCTTTCTATCTCTGCCCATTTCAAACTACTTAGGTTTCCCTCTAACCACTTGAATATTAATATTCCTGTCAAAAGAAGGTAAGTGCAAGTAGAAAAGAATATCATGATTAACCAGCTGCCTTCCAAAGGTGGATCATAAAACTCCTATTACTAGAAACATAATCAAGATATGTTTCTTAAAACAATTAGAGCTAGGTTTCTCAATCTGTTTTACACTATGACATGTAATAAAAATGAAATTTGTAGAGTAAAAACATACGAAGCTGTTGGAAAATAGGGGCACCAGGGGATTCCAGCTACCCTGGACCACGCCTCACTGCAAGAAGGACCACAGGAATCAGTATCTCTGCACATTTATAATCTGTGAGAAAACAGTGTACTAGTCACTACCACTTGCTACGTACTAAATCAGAATAAAACAAACAGCTTCTACTTCTAAGGGCTTTGAATGATCCTCCCTATGGGTCAGACATTTCTAACTAAAACTGAGTTTCCTACTCTTCAAGAATAAACAGGATATGATTCTATTTATATGAAGTGTCCAGAATAGTCAAATCCATAAAGACAAAAAGCAGATCAATGGTTTTCAGGAGATGAGGGAAGGGAGGAATTGAAACTAACCACTAATAAGTAATGGATTTCTTTTTGGGGTGGCGAAAATGCTTTGGAGTTAGATCATGGTGATAGATGCACAACACAGTGAATTAATTAGCTATGAATCACTGCAGTGGACACTTTAAATATGGAATTTTATGTTATGTGAAGTGTATCTCAATAAAAAAGTGCTATTAAAAAATGAGTAGTACATATTATACTATAAAATATTAAATATATATTACATATGGTTATGAATATGCTCCCTTCTCTATAAAATTAAGTTTAATAATTATTGATCAATGCATTTTTTAAAATACTTAATACTTTTAGTATTTTTTTTAGTAAAGAAAAATTATTTAAGGAATTACAGAATTACAGAAAGAAAAACTCTAGGGCAGTCCCGGTGGCGCAGCGGTTTAGCGCCGCCTGCAGCCCAGGGCGTGATCCTGGAGACCCTGGATCGAGTGCCACATCGGGCTCTCTGCGTGGAGCCTGCTTCTCCCTCTGCCTGTGTCTCTGCCCCCCCTCTCTGTCTGTGTCTCTATGAATAAATAAATAAAATCTTAAAAAAAAAAAAGAAAGAAAAACTCTAAACTGATTAGAAAGAGGATTAACAAACATACTGAAAACAATAAAATATGAAGCAAGGATATAGTGAAATCTATAGTCTTCTCTCACTTTGAAAATTTATGTTGCTTTGGACAAACAGTTCACATTTCTTAAATGAGTGTGTAGCTTCTCTGAATAAAATTCATACAACTTTTCTTTGGAAATGGATATACCACCATACCAGAAATGATTTTATGCCGGACCTCAAAAGTCATTGATTGCATAACTGTTTTGAAAAAAATATTGCTTTCCCAGTTTTCATTTGTGCTCCATAAAGTAGCATGGCTGAACGTTAACTCCCAAACACAAGAAAACAGGAACCCATGTGGCAGCCGAGTGTGAAGTACACGTGCTACTAGCACTGAGGGGTGTTTACTTTCTCTCCTTGCTGATGGATATGCTAAGGTTCTGAAGGTTGTTTTACACATCAAAGGACTCAGCACTATTTGTTTGTGATAGTTTTAGGTCAGAGATGCAGGAAGAGTTTGGTAATGGAAGATGAGTCATACAGGCTGTTCACTTGATGAAAGGTCATAAGTTTATTATTGAAGTAAGAACAAATTTTGGAGACTTCTACTAATGTAGTCAAACCTGCAAACCTTTGGAGAAAAAAAGATGAGAAATAGTCCTTCCTAGACTCTCACATTAGCTGATGAGCAATCTTTAGAACCTGTATGTATATTCCTATTAAAAAAAAAAAAAAGCTGGTGTTTATAGGTTCCCTCTGGTAAGCTCAGATGATTGAGCAATTTAGAATGTTCTTTATTCGTGGGAAACTTGTAAAGACTGTGACTTTCATGTAGAAAAAAGAATGGTTAAAAGGAAACACCCAGTGATTCTGATTTTAGTTTTTATTAAGGCATTTTAAAAGTTTAAGCAAACATTAGATGTCTCTTTAATTTGTTAATAGGAGAGAGCAGGGTGTGTGTCTGTGTGTTGTGTAATACTCATGCATCTTGGAATGACTGAATGCTTGTACTTAAAAGTTTATATTTACATTCAAATACTCTAGGTGTGTGGCTATTACTCAGCACCTACACCACCCATGAGAAATTTTATTTTGATCACACATAAGCTATTTCAAAGAAAACAAATATAATAACGTTAGCAAGAGTTGAGCCAACTGTATGTTTCAACCCCTGTATAGTTATTAATTAGCATTGAGATCTAAACCTGGGTATGGAATCAGATGACAATTATGATTTATTTCTATGTACTTATAAAAAGTTAGAACTTCTTTTGGTTTAATCAAAACCTAACTAGGCCCATGGAAGCATGCTGCACATGTGAGGGTTATAGGCCATGTGGTGTAAAATCAGAAAAGGCTGAGAAATCAAGTTCCCAAGTAATAAGAAAACAAGTCAACTACCTCATTCTTTCAAACAAGTCTTTCAAATATTTGAATTTGGTTATTGTAGTTCCCTTAAATAATCTCTCTCCTAAGTCAAACAGTCCCTGTGCTCTCAATCACTGCTCATTTGATGTGGTTTCTGGACATTTTGATGACTCTGTTGCTCTACTCATGTAATGCTCTGAATCATTGATGCCCCTTGTAAAGTGTAGCATCCAAATAATGTTCAAAACAGAAGCTGACCAATGCATAGGAAAAAAATGACATTTCTCTCCTTAACACCAAGCAACTAACTACTCCCAAATTTCATACATCAAAGAAGTCTTTTTATTATTCTCCTCACAATCTAAAATAACCACATTTTTAAAAAATTTCCTATTAAACTGTATTTTTAAAGGAATAATTATTTTTCCCAAGGTCTAAGTAATCTTAGCACTAAAATTCACATATTTCTAAGAAAAACAAAGACCCATATAGTCTTACTAGAAGTAAACATGTAACTGCTATTCTGTTAATTCCATTATCTGTGCCATTTCCGCATCCATACCTAAAGACTGAGTTTGCTCCTCATGATGGGTTAGATTTTCCTGGTTCTTTATATACCTGATAGATTTCTGACTGGCTGTCAGATGTTGTGAATTTTATGCTTTGGGTGATGGATTTTCTGGTATTCCCTTTGGTATCTTTGCTATACTTGTGTGGCATGCAGATAAGTTACTTGGAATTATTTTGATTCTTTTGAGCTTTGCTTTTAAGCTTTGTAAAGCAGGCCTAAAACAACCTTGAGTCTAGGACTAATCTCACCACATTACCGAGTTGCCCTTCTGAGGACCTGACTTGATGTCCCATGTGTTAGGAACTATTCCTGGTCCCGGGATGTTTCTGTAAGACTCTTTGTTTTTAGCATTTCCTCATACATGCGCTGTCATGTATAGTCAGCTAAAGACTCAGAGGGAACCTTCTACAGTTCTCTGAAACTCTTTCTATGAGTAGCTCTCTCCTCTCTCATACTCTATCCACAATTCTATTCTCCTTGGTACCCCCAAACTGTCTCCTCTACCCATGGAGATTATTAGGACTTTTGGGTTCTTTCTCCCTGAACTAGAGGTGGAAATTCTCCCCTATAAAGCTTGGACAAGTACAGGGCTCCCCCTCTTGGTTTCTGTTCTCTCAGAAATCACTGTCCTGTGCTAAACAAAACCATTGTTTCATATATTTCATTCAGTTTTTTAAGACAAGAAGCTATATCCAGTCTCTTCTCCATCATGGTTAGAAGTGGAAGTTTTATTGTTGCTTTTTAACACACTCAGGGCCACAGTCTGCAGCCACACAGGCTGTGAACTGTATAACTCCAGAATATAACGTGCACATGCCCTTCTCCTATCCTCACCGTAGATTTGAGTAAAATGGCAGCCTTAATCATACTGACCTTTTATAAAGAGCTTGTAATCAACAACACTCATATATGGGTAAGAATGATAACTCAAATGAAGATAATTCCTAATTTATAATTGTTATGATCTTATTTGACAGTTGAACAAGTGTTCTCATCAAAACAATATCATAAATGATGATTTGGTTCCTACAAGAAAACCTAACGTCATTGAAGTGTAATGCCTAGAGTAACTGATTGAAAACATCTGCCATTCATAATGTTCCTGTGGGAAGACACAATTAGAATTCTAACTTGTGATTTCAATAACGCATTTCTCTCCATTGTTAGTTTAGGGTGCACATACATTCACATGGAAGAGCATGGGAGAATAAATGTCAAGATCATAAAAATTCAGATAGACATGAGATAAATACTATTATAAACTGTATATTAGAATGGGACAGATCTCTTTTTACCCATGTTACAGAAGCATCTCTTTATTTTTTTTTTAAAGATTTTATTTATTCATGAGAGAGACAGAGAGAGAGAGACACACACACACACACACAGCCAGAGGGAGAAGCAGACTCCACACAGAGAGCCCGACACGGGACTCGATCCCCGGTCTCTAGGATCAGGCCATGGGCTGAAGGTGGCGCTAAACTGCTGAGCCACCCGGGCTGCCCCCAGAAGCATCTCTTTAAATGTAGAAACTGACCTACGAGAATAGCGAAATAAAATGTACTTACTCATCCAATTCTTCTTCTTCTGTTTTAGAACTATCAGCATAGAGGTACTTGCTCATGTCCACAGGTCTTACATTTTTTCTTTTTGTAGACTGGGGAGGAGAATCTTTTATAGTTACAAATGTTTCTGGCTCATCAAATGGGTTCAAATACTGTGGAGTCTGTATCTCTTTAAAGGGATTATAGCTATTATTATAAAAAGATTCTTCTGATTTTTTAGGTGATGCTGTTTCAGTGATGGGTTCTATAAAATAGCAAAAAATGAATTAAATAAAATTAATATTACCTGATATTTTCTTATATTTTTAGTGTGTTCAAAAATAATCTTAGAATTAACACTCTATGAGGCTGAAAGAGTCAAAACAATAATATGTTTTAGAAGGGCTAAGTTCAGGTGTGTTACCTAAGATCTTTGTCTACTTCTCCAGGAAGGCTGCTCCCCAAAATGGCAGTTCTGAATGGGCTATTTTTATTATTTTATTATTTTATTTTATTTATAGCAGTAGAGGGGGAGGGGCAAAGAGAGGGAGAGAGAGAATCTTAAGCAGACTCTGAGCCCAACATGGGGCTTGAACTCACAACCCTGAGCTCATGACCTGAGCCAAAAATCAAGAGTTGGACATTTAACCAACTGAGTCACCTAGCACTCCTAAAATGGCATCTTTGGAATGCCTTTGTAGTTTCTAATATTATTAGAATTACCAGTATGCCAATTATTGAAATTTAAACCTTCTTAGAGGTACAATATTCTACTTATTGTTAATTTCATTTGACTATACTAGCTTGCCATCCTAAACATATTTAAAAGAAAACTGTTTTTGTTTTTTTTTTTTTTTTTAAGATTTTATTTATTTATTCACGAGAACACAGAGAGACAGGCAGAGGGAGAAGCAGGCTCCATGCAGGGAGTCCGACATAGGACTCGATCCCGGGTCTCCAGGATCATGCCCTGGGCTGAAGGCAGCACTAAACTGCTGAGCCACCCGGGCTGCCCGAAAACTGTTTTTAAGAACATAAAATAGATTAAATTTTGAAACTGTCTTTGATAGTTACACAAGCAGAGACCACTGAGGGAAGTGAAAATTCATTCTGGACTGTATAAAATATATTCCCACAGATCATCAAGTTTTTTTTTTGCAAAGCCTTCCAAGAATAGGATTCTGTATGCTACAGGACCTTAAATTTTTAGAGGTTTTAATGAGATGGCTGATTTCTTTCAATATAACTTTGATGCAATCGGTACTCTAATAACGCAAAGGACTAACATAAGAATTCTCAGGTAGAAAGCACTACATTATAATCATATTGATAAGCTGATAGACATGTTACATTACATCGAATTTTTCTAAATTTTATTATTTAAAATTTCATTTTGAAAACCTATGTACCCTTAAAAATAAAATTTTGACTCCCAGCACAAAAAGCACTACAATAGCATCACGTCTTCCAAAGATCCTTATGAAGTGCTTAGTACCACCTTTTTTCTTCTTATCTATCTTAATATTTTAAAACAAAACTAGAATTTGTAATAAAACTGTCCAACATTTAGTCATGAATTCCACTGATAAAAGCAAATGCATTCCCAGACTGGAGAAAAGTTTCAGAGAGCCAACAATCGCAGCATAATTTAAAAGTTAATTTTAATTATGTCATGCAATTCTGACAAATATCCTAGAAGGCAGAAAACTGGTTCCTGAAATTCTCAAAAACATTTCATAAGTGACACTTCAAACAATTTAATCCAATTATTATAAAAATTTCACGACTAACATATTTATGACTTTTACATTTTAAAGTCAAACTCCTTTTACTTATACTTTAGACATTAGCCCAGAAAAGTTATTTTGTCTTTATATTGGAAAAAAACACTCTGAAATGAAATTCCATACCCATGGAGAAGCAATTATAAAGTGTAAAAGAGAATTCATAAAATCATAATAAATACTGAAATGAATTTAAATAAATCAAATTTTAAATTTAAATTTAGAATATGCTAGAGAAGAGACACCATAACTATGTGACTGTTTAAACACCAGGATAATATTCAAACTTAACACTTCATTAGAATTTTTATAATAATGTAAATGAGGCATCTTTTTTCTCCATAGGGGAAGAGAGGCTGGAAAATTTTTACCTATTCAATTTTTATTAACAAATATCAAGTCTCAAATGCTTGAGACACTGACAAAACCAGTCAATGGAAATAAGATTTTTATTTTTACTTTCAGGAAGAGGACTGCAAAAACTGATCTAAGCAAATTCATCAGTTACAAAACCAAAAGCAAGAAAGCATTCAAACTATACAGCATGGTTAGATAACAAAAATGGCAACAAAAGAGAGTTTAAAATGAGATTATTTTATATAAAAGCTAACAAATACATTTAATAACTTTCTAAGAGGGTCACTGAAGCACAGAATGTCATGAATCTAAGAGGAGAATTTAAGCTATAAAAGCAAATAAAAGAACCATCTAAACAACTTCAACACATTATTTTGTCCTCCAATGCTTTTGTTACTTGAGGATGCAAATTTTTCATCAATAAAAATTTAAAGATAATTTCTAAAAAAACAAGTATTCTTCTATTATAAAATACTTAGAACAAAGACCCAAAGGCATGTATATTTAAAGAAAATATTGGTTGTCTCATATTTCTTTTAGCTCTGTAGGCATGGTTAAAGATTCTGAATCACACTGACTAACCTCTCCTAAATAGAAATACTGTATTATATGTTATCTGCTACTCCATTCTGTAAGTCAGAAAACAGACCCGCATACATTTTTAAAAACCATTTTTTATTTGTCTTTGAAATGGAAAGTTCAAATACTGATGTCTCAAAATATTTTGGTAATATTTTAAAAACTCAACATCCTGAGATCTATACAGTACAAAATTGAGGAGACTCCATGTGGTCAAAAGAAGACACTTATTTGGAATCTTAGCTCCAACTCAACTTCCATTTACCAAAGTTCTTGTTCAAATCAGTGAATTCCTCTGGGCCTCAGCTACCTAATCTATGAAAAGAGGCAGCTGAAGTAGATTACCTCTAAGATTTATTATTACCATTGACATTTAAAATACATTATTAATATATATAGCTCACAAACAAAATAAAATCTCATTAAAGTAAATTTAGTAATTTAGAATCTGTTAAGAAGAGAGAAGGTAAAGGATCAGAAGAAGAAATGGATTACAAAATTAGATTGCTCCAAGAGTAAATTCTGAAGTTAAAACCTCATTTTCACCATTACAGGTAGTAACAAAATTCTTCAAAGCTCATGCGCATTTCATAAGAGCAGTCTAAAAGATGTACCCACTGTTTAATCATTCTTGCATTTACTTTGAAAAAACAATTTAATTAAACAGAGGTCTCACTTCTTCAATAGCTCTTTTTAAATTATTATTATTTTTTTAATAGCTCTTATCTAAGGCTTTAAAAGTTAAAAACTACTTGATAAGAAAAATGACTCAGGAAAAAAAATTTCGCACACATATTCCTTACAAGTATGTTTTATATATGATCACAAGGTCAAAGTTTTTAATCTTCTTTTGGCTCCATGCTATTTACATGCACAACTTACTCTTACTGCTGACTATAATTCTCAGCCAGAGACATGGAGTGGGGAGTGGGACTCTCTGAGGGTGAGGACAGAGGAAGAAGCCATCCCACAATCCCAATATATTAGCATGTCTCACAACTTGACCTTACTTGGTAGGCTAAGCTAAGGAGACTTTACTATATGCCAGCTAGGTGAAATACTGTTATCTCTAACATCAGAGTTTTACCATCTAACTTGACCAAACAAATAGAGAATTTAAAAATAACCCCTATGTAGAAAGTGGGTGGAGAGGAAGGGTGAAGTAGGTGAAGAGGATTCAGATCACACTTTGGTAATGAGCACTGAGTAATAGAATTGTTGAATCATTGTATGGTACACCTGAAACCAATATAACACTGTATGTTAATTATACTGGGATGAAAAAAAAATAAGTCCCATGTAAATGTTTAGTAAAGGTTTCTTTTTCCCTTAAAAACAATTCAACGGAAACTATCCAGATTTGCTAGTCAATACAGTATCATCATAAACAAAAATTACTTGGAGTCCTTTTTAAAAAAATATCTTCCTACATTACAATTCAAGATAACTTGATTTTATAAAGACTTAAAAAGTACAGAAAAAAACTCGCTACCTTCTGAGTCAGGATCCCCAAATGGGTTTAATTCTGCTACATCAGGATCACCAAATGGATTTAAATTCACAGTGGCCAAGTCCTTTTCTGCTTCATCCAAAAAGTTAAGTTTGTTGATAAGCTCTGAAAATAAACATGTGTGTTAGTTCACTATGATTGCAGTTAAGTATAATTCTTGATCATTCAAAAATTATTTTGAATTCTAAAAATTCACACTAATAATACCTGCAAATAATAAGATACAGCATTTTACCTATGGCAGAATGCCATTCAAGTATTTTGTAGCATACCAAAATGTTCAAATAAAACAAATATGTGTATATTAATTTGAAAACTGTATCAGATAATGAATTAGAGAAACTTTTATTGGAATCTAATTTAACCCAACAAAAAAATGCTGACAGATTTTTAGAAAAATATCCTTCACTTCTAAATATGAATAATTCAAATGGGTTTAATGTAAGCAAATATTTAAAAAAACAGCATAGCTATGTAAGCTAACTGAAGAAATATGGTCATGTTGTATGATCAATTATTATCAACCACAGTCTATCAAGGATACTGTTATAAGGCTTTGCTAATGATGGTAAATTATGTTGTTAGCTGTTGGTACACTACAAATTACCAAAGAAAACATTCAAGGAAAAGCACAAAGACAAAACTGACAGCTAATAAGTACAGAGTGAAGTCAAGAGGTAGCAGGTCACAGTAAATACAGGCAATCAGAAGCAGAAAGAAAGGAAGAAAGCTCTTAGACCTTCAGAGGAACTGGCTGATTTAGCTGAAGGCATATTTGCTTGCTTTATGCAGTCATCTTGATCTTCATCTAAGCTGCTCAGAGCATTCAATTGGTTTACAATTTCTGTAAACAGAAGCCAGTCGAGACAAATGTAAGGTAAGGTCATTTAATTAAAGAGCCATAGAAGCATGCTGTTACTCAAAAAGACAAAGAGAGGAGATGTTTGGTTAATCACAAGAATACATTCAGAGGATGTTATTTTGATGGTATAACAGATGCATCTAACTGAAAGTTACCTTGTACTCGTATTTTAAAATAGAAAACAGTTTGTTAAATTTATATTATTAATATAACAACTATGTTAATAAACACAAAACAAATAACCCAATAGGTTGACTTTGGCTTTTAGCAACCACATTTTCTATTTATAAAACAGTGCTTTAAATGCATGTTAGAACAATAAAAAATGTCCCGATACTATAGACAATATGTACTATTTGTTTCATATTATAAATGAAAACTAAAGGTTTTAAGAGTATATCCACACAAATCATGAACAGATAAAGCACTTATGTTCTAGAATTTTAAAAATCAGCACAAAATAAGAAAAGGAGACAAAAAGTAGACAAAAACTACTACTTTCTACTCCTGTTTTCTAAGGCAATTGTTCTTTTAAGGGAACTCTTGAGTATTGGCCTTAGGAAGTCTTATAATTTAGCCAATAAAAAAAAAAAAACAGAACAAAGGCAAGGTTAGATAGAAAAATATTAAAATAAGATAGAATTCATTTTGTGCATAAATAAAATTTTTATTTTTATTTTTTTTTAATTTTTTTTTGTTTTTAATTTTTATTTATTTATGATAGTCACACAGAGAGAGAGAGAGAGAGGCAGATATAGGCAGAGGGAGAAGCAGGCTCCATGCACCGAGAGCCCGACGTGGGATTCGATCCCGGGTCTCCAGGATTGCGCCCTGGGCCAAAGGCAGGCGCTAAACCACTGCGCCACCCAGGGATCCCATAAATAAAATTTTTAAACATGAGTCATATATATTTTGGACAACTCTGAATATGTGTAATTACCATTCACTAAGTGAAAATTAGCTTGGAGAAAAATAATAAAAGCTTACTAGGGTATTCTAATTAATCCTTGCTGTTTCCAAAGTTACAACCTGGGAATAAGCTTAGGTATTAGGATAAACCAAACAGATCCAGATTATTCAGTGAGAAAGAAAATGGTTAAAAATAGAAAATAGTTGTAAATTCACCATTAAAAATTGTGTTCTTTAACACTGTAACTCTAACTATATATTCTAAATCTTATTTGAACTGAATCACAGAATACACAGCTGTCATAAGGTTGCCTTCATCATTTATTTGTTGTTGAAAAAATATTTATCACTCTGTGCCAAGTACTATCCTTGGAACACAAGGATGAAAAAAAACATACATGGTATCGTCCTGGAATTTACATTCTATAAAAATAAATGGAAACAGATTTAGTAAAATAACTACTAAATTATTAGTATTATTTTATAATCTTTGAGCTAAATATATATACACATTTAATAAACTTATTTAGTTCTTTTGTCTTGTTGAGAAATACATTTTACATGAATAAACTTTCTTGAGATAGTCAAGTAAACCACAGAACATAAGGAGTAAACACAATACCAACTGAACTCTTCGTATGATTTTGAATAGTAATAGATGAATAGTCAGACTTTATAAAATATCTTTTTATTCTGCCAAGTTTTAAACCTCACTCTCACTCAACCTACTAAACTTCTCATTAAGATAGAGCTCATCCATAAATTATATATTTTACCTCCCATGACTAATTATAACTTTGTAATTTTTAAGGAAATACAGTGGAGTAGAGGATCAGGGTTAAGTGATTACCAGTGCATGACTGACTTCTTTTCATTCAGGACTAATTATGTATTTTTAAAAATTTGCAAATGACTTTTAACTTTGAAAGCATGAAAAAAGAAATATTAACAGCAGCTAATATTTATTAAGCAGTGGGAAGGGCTTTGCATACATTACCAGTATTGATTCCCATAAATATCCTGAGGTATTATTACTAATTCCCAGATGTGCAATTACTGGGTTAAAAAACTTTACTTTTAAAAAAGATTTCCTTATTTGAGAGAGAGAGAGTGTGTATGCACACACATGCACATGCAATTTGGGTGGGAGGAGCAGAGGGAGAGAGGGGAAATCTGAAGCAACTCCCCACTGAGCATGGAGGCCTACCTGGGGTTTGATCTCAGGACCCTTAGATTACCACTCCAGCTGAAACCAAAAGTCGGCTACTCAATCAACCAAGCCACCTAGGTGCCCCTAGGTTTAAAAACTTGAAAATAATGCTCAAAGATTTGTTTTCTTTACATAGCTAACACATTTTAATTATTTTATATTTAATGTAGGTAGAAATCAATCATTTTTTAAAATACCTTATACAATGAGTAGCATAGGGAATACTGAATAAATATTAGACTTGGTCCCTACTGTCAAAACATTAATACTGTTCCATGGAGTTTTAGGCACAACATGGGCATTTTTTTTTTAAAGATTTTATTTATTCACTTGAGGAGGGGGAGGGAGAGACAGAGAAAGTGCAAGAGCAGAGGGGAAGGGCTGAGGGAGAGGAAGAAGCAGACACCATACCGAGCAAAGAGTCCATTGTGGGGCTCAATCCCAGGACACCCAGATCATTACCCAAGCAGAAGGCAGATGCTTTAACGGACTTAGCAACACATGGACCCTGGGCATTTCTTTAAATATTATCAAGATGACTCCATCACATGATTAAATTATTTATACTCATTTTTCTGAATGTTTAGAATGTTTTCTCCCCCTCATTCTTCTTTTAGTGACATCTAATATCACTGATGATCATTTCCTCTTTAACCCAAAATAATTTCTTCTTTCCATTGTTACTGATGACAGTTGTCCTTATCCTACTTTTCCTCTTTATCCATAGCTTAAATAAATCCTTACATTCCTCCCAGAACTTCTGCTTCTAGAACTTTCATTCATATTAATAAAGTAAAAGGTAATTCTGATTAGCTATATCAATACTCCCTTAATTTGGTATACAAAAAAATGTTAATTCCAATCATACAAAGAGGCAACCCCCAAAGAAATACCATTTACCTATTTAATAAATATTTATCAAGTACCTATTATATATCTTTGGCAGCACCCTCATGGCTTTCTATTTTTTTGGGAAAAGTAAGTGAAGCATTATACAGTATATGGTAAGTGTCATAAATATTATGATTGAGATATGCATTACAGACCATGTGAAACTGAAAGAGGCATATAGTCTGAGGTCAAGAAAGGCCTTCGAGGGACACCTGGGTGGCTCAGTAGTTGAGCGCCTGCCTTTGGCCCAGGGCATGATCCTGGAGTCCTGGGATCGAGTCCCACATCAGGCTCCCTGCATGGAGCCTACTTTTCCCTCCCTCTGCCTATGTCTTTGCCTCTCTCTCTGTGTCTCTCATGAATAAATAAATAAAATCTTTTAAAAGAAAGAAAGAAAGAAGAAAGAAAGGAAGAAAGGAAGAAAGAAAGAAAGAAAGAAAAGAAAGAAAGAAAGAAAGAAAGAAAGGCCTTCTGAACTTATTTAAATTTGAGCTAATACAAAACATTATTTATATTATTATCATTATTATTGTAAAAGAAGAAATGGAGAGCATTCTATAGGAGGAAAGGAAGATAAATAAGAATAAGACACATTTGAAGAACTCCAAGTCATTTGGGGTTTAAGATGCCAGGGATGGAAAATGGAATGAGATGAGGCTGGCAAATGTCCTACTGTAAAGATTACTGCAATCAAACCAAAGAATGTGAACTTTACTCTGAGAGTATAGGAATCCAATGAAATATCAAAACGTATATTTTAGAAACATCACTCCAGCAGCAACATGGTGGCAGCGCTTGGAACAAAAACAAGACAGGAAGCAAGAAGATGAGCGGTTCAGCATCTCTACTCCACAAAAGGAGGCAATCAATAAATATTTGCTAATTAAAGAATAAATTAAGAATAAAGATTTGGTGGTTAATTTGACATGAGGGATAGGGAAAGGAATCTAGGACAAGTGCCAGCTCTGTCTTGGGTGACTCTGAATAGTATTCTACTACTGTGACTGGGGCTATGTAGTTGGGCACATACCAAGTTACAGATGCCTGTGAAACTTCCCATGGAAATAATTCAATTAGCAGTTGCAGATGTTGGTCTGAAGCCTAAAATACATAATTTTGTTACGTATTTCTCCTTTTAAAAAAGGACTTTTCAGAGCGTCTGGGTGGCTCAGTCTGTTTAGTGTCCAACTCTTCATTTCAGCTCAGGTCATGATCTCAGGGTTGTGAGGCTGA